AGATTTAAAATTTTTAATTTTCGGCAAAATTCTGTCAGATACTCTAGAGAAACATCACTGAATGCCGTACAACCACTGATGTTGAGTTTGGTGAGATTGGGAAAACCGTGAGCTAATGCATACAAGGAGAGATCACTAAGCTTAAAGCTTTTGCTGAGATCCAGGTCCTGCAGATCATGACAGTAATTTGCAATAGTCTCAACAGCATTATCCTCAAGTTGTGGTTTATCTTGGCGCAGCACAAGAGTTTGCAGTTTTGTAAATTTAGGAGCAAGAGATAGAACCAAGTTGTTCATGTTGTTTTTGCACCTGAAGAAAAGAACTGATGCAAGATGTTATCGTGGTCAATGATGAAGAAGAATAAATTCAGAACAGATTGGTCAACAAAATAAGACCTGATAACATGCCCGAACAATTTCTAAAAGGTTACTTTTCAAAAGGTCTTGAATGTTGATTAGAAATACTTTCAGGAATTATACACAACAAATCTAAAATCTTGATGCAGAGCAAACTCAACCAAATCTTTTAACATTCCCCTCGCAAACAAGCAAACGAATTTCTGATTGTCTATGTATATCACTCATTTACCCGTAAAAAATCAAAAACTACCATGATGAGAACTGATTACAGCACGTGACATTAACACTGAATTAGGGTTACAAGTTTGCAAAGATAGCATGTTTCCATGTTACTTTCTGTAACCAATCAGCAATGTTTTCGATCATGGCCTCGGAGAAGATGGCAATCCGGGACAAATTGCTCTGTTCAAAAACCACATATAAACTCTTAAGTAAGAAACACTTCAATAACTCAAAAGGCATGATCACCTGGGTCGGATTAAGAGATAAGAACAATTTTATATACAATCGATACAGCTTATATAAAACAAAAATCCCAAAAGAATTACAACCAGCTTGAACAACATATTGATTATTGAAGACAGAGGAAGAAAGGCTATACCAAGAGAGACACAGATGGGTGCGTCCCGAGCAAATAGCATCCCTCCATCCACTGCAAACCCCGGAAGCGATAATCAAGGTCCTATCATCAACAAGAGAAACAAGCCTTAACAACAGCTCCATACGGATATCTTTCCACTCAGTGATCACCAAGCCTTCGATTTCCCCACCTCCTGCACCAATCCCCCTCTTTCCACCATCAAAAGCAAGCATCATCGGCTTCTCAGAAAACAAGTTCAAGTCTTCCCTTCTCCCTTTTGCTTCCCCTGACATTTCACGTGGAAAAGTTTGTTTGTTTCTTGTTTCTGTTTTCTGTCATCAACACAGTTGAAGAGGTTGCGAGAGAAAAGAAGAAAATTTTAGTAAGACGACAAAAACCAAAAACCAAAAACAAAACCCATGTCAAAAACCCTATTAAAATCATGAAGGCATAACAAAAGAAATATTGATTAAGAATCATTAACAAGACACAACTAAATAATCATTAAAAAACAATCTTTAACTCACATTCCCAGCAGATTCTATGAGAGAAGAACAGAGTCTTTCAGTACCAAAAGTCAAGAGGGACACAAATAAAAGAAATCTTGAAGGGTGTCAGTGATAAACGTTTCTTAGCTGTCATTTTCTTTTTCTCTGTGTGAGCTCTGCTAACTGCTGAAGCTTTGGAGGGGAGGTGCATTTATCGAGACAAGAGGACTTCAACGAAAGAAGGAGAAACGTACGGGAAGAAGTTAAGTGGCCCGTGTGGTGCCATGTATTTGATGTTAATCAATGGTGTGAGGACGGCCCCGCTCAAAAGGGGCCCTTTGATTGCTTTCTAATTTTTATGGGACGGCAATTCTTAGAGTTTTTTTTTTTTTTTTCTTTTTAAGTCAGTGTTTGGCCACCTACCTTAATTAATTTTATTAGTTCTGAAAATGAACAATATGACCCAAAACGACGCATTTGGCATGAAAAATGACAAATTATAATTTGGTCCCTGGTGTTTTGAAATGTATTAATTGGGTTCCTTAGTCAAATATTATTAAATATAAGTTTTTAGTGATTACTGGGTGATTTAAATTTATGGTTATTAAAAAATAAATTTAAAAAATATGATTAATTGAATATGATAGGTGAGAATTTTTTTATATAAATTAACATAGTTTAAAAAATATAATTTAACTAGTTTTGTTACCAAGAATAGCACAATATAATTAATAAAATTTTAAGAAATAACACTATTTTTAATAGCATGATAAAAAAAAACTAAAGAATTGCGCTGATGAAATAATAAAAGCCTTCAAAATACAATAAACAAAAAAATAAATATTCATTTGTGCAAAATCTTGGAACAAATTCTTACTAGAAAATGTAAGGGTTATGATACTTTTATTAACATATTTCTTAATTTTTTTATATTTTTAAATATTAATAACACAATTATTTAAATATTATCTGATTACGCTGCTATAAATAAGGTAATCAGTAGCACAATATAATCGGTTGCTCTGCTAGGAATAATCCAACCTATTAAATTTTTATTGCGTATACTATTTTTAATAGTATGATTATTTAAATTATGCTAGTTTGAAAAGAATATCCCCGTCAATACTCCAATGTTTTAAAGCCTTGAGTCTTCTTTTTTTAATTTTTATCGTAGACAATACTAGTGCCAGTCTAGTCCAGGATAAGCATTAGGCAATTCAGTTTGACCGAGGAATGAAGCTGTATTATCAAAATACATAGTGAATTCTTGATTGATCATGTGATAGTTCTTAAAGGTTTGGTTAATGATATGATAGCTATTAAAGGTTTACGTGATCGTTAATTCTAGGACCCATGAGATTAGTTGTGTTGCACACAAGCTAGACTGAACATCCATGTTAATAAAAAAAAAAAATAATGGATCCACTAAAAAACATTAATGAGCTATTATGATCATTCCGTAAAATGTGACTTTTTTTAAATTAAATATTCAAAATATTGTTTTATTAAAAAACAAATCACTACTCCGAGTGTAGAAACATGCTGATCTTGATGAAATTATTTATCAGTCGCAAGGTTTGAGAGAGAAGTGATGGGTGCGTCATTGTGTAGAAAGTTGCATTGTGCGTTATTATTATATTTTTTTTAATAGAGAGTGTTTGGAAACAAATTATATTTTAAAATATTTTTTATGGAAAAATATATTAAAATAATATTCATTTTTATTTTTTATATAAGATATCAAATTAATTTAAAAATATTAAGAAATTAATTTAAAACTTAAAAAATTCAAAAACATAATTAAACCACATTAAAAAAAACAAACAAACAGAGCTTAAGTAAAATCCTTCCCTCTATCTTAAATCTTATTTTTCCAGGATAGAAATACTCCCTTTATTACGAATATGGACAATAACATGGTGGTTGCGGTAAAACTTACTTCTGGGCCGGATAATATTCCAATTTGATTTTGTGTTGATCGGACAAATTCTAAAACTTCAATTTGCGTTCCGATGAAGTAAGAGATAGCTCTCCGGTGGAAAAAACTCGCTTTACGTGTCTATTTTTGCATAACATATACTCCACAGGATTAGTTCTTTGAAATTTGAACCCATCATTTTTGTGTCCTAAATCTTCAACTATTTATTTATTTATTTATTTGTTATATATATTCTTGAGAAATAAGGAAGCAATCATACTGGGAATAGAGTTGCGAATGACTAAATAATTAAAATAAGAATACTGAAGAATCCAACGTTTTCTTATGTTTCTGTGAAGCTAGCTGGCACCGCCAGCCAGCCAAGTTAAAAATAGGTATTAATTTAGTGTTACTTGCTACTTATTTTATTTTTATTTTTTGTAAGATAAAAGCAAGAATGTTTATTTATAAATAGATAGTAAATTCTTATTATATAGACACAACAAAAAAAAAAGAGATAAAGAATAGAGTGAGAGGGAAAAAATAATTTCATAAAATTATAAGGTATTTATGAGAGAGTAAGTGAAGTATTTTCTCTTATCATTAAAAAAATTTCAGTTATTTTCTATTAATAGAGAGGTTGTAATTCTTATATTAATTAGTATAATTTTTCTATATTTATATGTGGTTGTAGTCTAATTTGAATGAACCATGTAAATTTTTATGTATTATTGTTTATTTTATTTTATTTTTTATTTTTTATCTTGTTAGATTTATATATAGTATCCTAACAATTTCGCTAAAAAAGTTGATAAATACTTTAAAATATTAATAAATATAAGTCGAATGTCGGAAATAATAGTTTTTATATGGGCTTGATTTGATTCTAGAAGAAAAAAACAATAATAGTAATAAAACACTCGACGAGAGGAGATCGGATCAAGTGGGATGTCAAAAAGAAGTAACCTTTTCGGCAAATAATGGATCATAGCGTCCTAACTTGTATAAATATTCTTTACGGTTTGAATAATTTTTTAAATGAGTATGGTTTTTCTTTTACTGCGTGTAAAATTACATGTGTGTATTGAAATAGAAACAAAAGATTGTCCTTTTTCTTGTTATAAATTAGCCCAATTCAGATACTTAAAAAATAAAAATATTGTCTGCGTTGATTATATTAAAGCCATGTTATGGGTTTTTTTTTTGTATTGATGGACTATACCGTTGTAGGAAGTTGGTAGATATATTAAACAGACTTCAGGGCATGAAAGATCATTACTGTATTTCTAATACACAACTTAAAGCCGCGTAAATGTGAATATTTCTTCAAGAAATCTTATATTATATTTTAAAAAGTATTTATTCAGCATGCACATAGTTATACCCCTACATCTTATATAAAAGCAAGATTTGTGAATTATTTTCATAAAAAAAATTATATTTTTATAAAGAAATAATAGTATAACGTCTTGTATTTCTAATTATTCACCCCACTTTGGTATATGAGCTTTCTAGATACATGTTCATTTAAAAATATATTAAAATATATTTTTTTATATATTGTCATGTAAAAACCATTAAAAAATTAATTTAATATTTTTTAAAGTGAAATATATTTTTATTTATTTATTTATTTTGAAATTTCTGTCCTTTTCCAACTGAAGGTTCGAACTTCATTAGCTTGCAAGATTTATTCTTTGAATATTGAACAAAGTCTAGTGCAAGCCCTGTCCATAGTTCATGCTTTGGTAATGAAGAGGTTTATTGTCCTGTACAGTTCATTATTTCGGCGACAGCAATACAGAAATGTTCTCATGCCAAGAACCTTTCCAGCAAATTCCCGAAAAAGAAACTTGTTTTGGCCCATCCTCTAGCTTCAGGTTCTCTGGAACTAGCAGGTGTTTTCTTCACATTAAGCATCATGGTGTGCCCGATTTCTTTACGAAGTGCTTCGATAATCTTCGTATCCACTGGATTCCCAGAAGCATCTCTTACATAGAAAACATTCGTTGCTTGCTCTCCTATCGTCATGACTCCTGCTCTTGATACGGCTAATCCATTCTCTCGCAGAATCCTTGTAACTTCAGATAGTAAGCCTACTCTATCCTTTGCACAGAGCTCAAGGCTCAGACCCTGGGATCACAGTGAAAAATTCAGACGGCACAAAATAAATATTGGTAATCTAGGGACTGCACCCCTGAAAGAAAAAAATTATGTGAAATGTGTATCACTGCAAGTACAATAATCTGTTTATCTTATGATAAAATGAATGAATCCTAACTGGCGTAAAAAGAAAGGAAGGAAGGAGAAAGTACCGTTGCCCCCAACATTTGCAAAAAATGTATACTTTACAAAGCAATTCAGAAAACAGTTCTCTTCATTTTAATTAATCACCTTCTCTTAACCCTCATGCTTCTGAAAGCAAACAATTTATCAAATGCCGTGTTAACAACCAGTCTAAGCTGGTCCTATGATGCACGCGATACGGTTCTGAATATTGAACATAATTTCAATCTCTTTTATTCTCTTACTTCCTTCTTAGAGTTGACCTAATATCCATAGCAACTAGCATCTCTCGACTCTTGTAAGAATCTCAACAATACTGATTTCTCATTCATCAAAAAGAAGAAAGAAAAGGAAAACGAAAACGAAAGGCTGATAAGACTTTGGCATGCTGCAAGTATTTTGTGAAGTGATAGATGTGAGGTTGCAGAAGATGACAGACAAGGCTGGTGTCTGTTATTGAGGCTGTACTGTTGCTACAAATTATTAGATGCCATTTTCATACTGTTTTCATTCCCGGCTTAGTGAACCTAATTGACATGGTTAGCCAGCAAAAGTGGTTACAATTTTCAGCATTGGCTATGGAGAATCGTTAAATTAACCATGAAGTGAAGTATCAATACAATACATGTGAGAATCCCAGTTATAGACTTTCAGAAGCATTAAATTAAACATAAACTAAAGCTATATCTTCATACTGTTGTCTCAGTTGCATTATATTCTGCCACAGGCCTGTAGCTGAAAAATGCTCTCTATTTTAATCTATTATAAAGGATTCTATCATGAAACTGTTTCAAAGCCAACAGCTCAAAGATTCTGTCATTTCATCTGGGCATCAGAGATAGACAACAGCATAACTCAGAATGTAAAACCTGAGCTGTTCTACACTAATATAAAGGGAATAACAGAAATAGAATTTAAAATCACTACTTTCAGCTGAACCATGAAAGACAAACAGGAATGTCAGACGACAAAGCACAGCGATGCCCTTATCTACAATTTCATACAGCACCAGCAGGAAACAGTAAGGTAGACAGTTTACTCACCTCGCTTACTCTTCTTAAGGTAGACAGTTTACTCACCTCGCTTACTCTTCTTCTAATCGCAGCTTCGAGGCATTTGATAACTCTTTCCTTCTCTCCTTCGGTATCAAGTACGCAACCATCCATGTGACGAATATAGTACTCCTAAAAGTTCGTATACTGGGTCAGTTGCTTCAATAAAATCCCACAGAGGCTATGAAATTTATTATAACTGTTACAAAAATAGTGGAGTCATTTCAGTGAACAAATGGGCTAATAACAAATGAACCTTTTTTATTTCTTTAATTAAAATTCTGCAACACACAAGCAGAATGCTGCATTGAAAAAGATAAAAGGAAGATGGAATGAAGTAGAAATCTGTGTAAATTTGACAAATGATTTGCAGAGACTAAAAATCTTAGAACATTCTGTTTCTAGTTGCTACTCGCCTCTACTGATTGGAGCAGTTCCGGTAAAAAAATTACGAGCTTAACTAATCTTCAGCATGAAATCACATACACAAACAGAAAATCTAGTGTCAATGTGAAAAGATGGAAGCATTGAGCTTCATAATGCCTCGCATCAACAAAACTAGAAATGCCTTTAAACGAGAAATGTTTCTTAATTTTTCTTCTAGTTATCGGTGTACATATACTTCAGTGGGGTAAGAGGTACCTGTGATGCATGGGGGCCATCAGACGAGATTGTAGCATGGAAAACAACATATTGCATATCTGTGAGAGTGCACACTATGTCAAACATCAACTTGGCACGGTCTTTGCATCTAACAGTGACCACAGAGTATCCTTTATCCTCACAACGCTCAACTGTGATCTTTGGCTTTAGGGAGGGTGGACAATCAACCTCAGTAGCCACTATTCCACCTTCATAATCCCTGTCGGCAAACAACATTTGGTGCAGCCTACGGTCAACATGAGTAAACCCCATGGAGAAACTAGTTCGACCCGCCTCATCATTCTCACACCCGCGTAGAATGTTCTTGAGCTGGTCCTCCATTATAGACAATCTGGTTGGGTCAGCTACAGCACGAGATGTGGTGTCATCGTTGACATAGACAACACATGCTATCCGCCTATTATGGGTCCAAACTTCAGCAGCAACCACATTGAAGTGAAGGTTAGCAAGGACGGCTGAGATTTCAGATAAAAGACCAGGGCGATCCTTGCCAATGAGTTCAATGGCAATGTGCCCACCAACAGAGTGCACTCCAACCCGTTTGTCTGCCCAAGTAGACACTTCTTCTTGGCTTTTAGGTCCTAGAGCCTGTTGCGTTGAAGATACTTTCAGTTAACACTGGTGCTAAAATGGGTCAACTCTTTTCCAATCAGCACTGAACATCCTATATTGGCTTGAATTTATATCACGTGAAATCAGATAAGCGAAAAAAACATAAGAATTGCATACCTTCTCTATGTAGTCAATGGTTTTAATATCTGTAATCTTCTTTCCTTGTTGGTCAGTGACATGAAATACTGTGGATCAGAAATAACTATATAATCAATACCAACTTGTTCTGTATGAAAAAGTGAAAGAGAAAACTAAACAGAAGGATATAGTAAGATGGCGCCTTGTTTTGATCACTTGGTTTAAAGTCTATTCTTTAGACTTAAAATCAAAAGATTAGATAATAAATTCATAATCAGGTGAAACATGCACTAATTACAGAAAGAATCTTAGGAAGCATATGTAGAGCACTGCCTTGCATAACCATTAAGGAAGAAGAAAACATGGGAAGTCAATAGAAGCACACTCATACCATCCATGAACCAACCACCATCTGAGGAGATGTAAGCTTTGGTGATAATGAGGTCAAGATCCGTTAGGACTTGCACAACTTCCAGGAGAATTCCTGGTTTGTTCATGCTGTCAACCTAATACATGAATTTTAGTTTGTCATTGCTGTGACATTATCTTAAAAAAAATTCATAGCAAGCTTAATAATTTGCTTTCCAATTAATAAACTAGAGCACGCGTGTAAGGAATCTGGTTAAAGATAAGATCCTGTCTCTGTATTTTCCCAATTCTGCAGTGTAAGTGGATGGAGAAAAATTTAAGAACAAAAATCATTTCAGTAGAGGCCCCTCGTGCAGTAATGTACTAGAAAGGAAGGGATACGTTCTGAAAGTCTGATATTCAGCAATTTGGCTGGCTCGGGTCATTCATACATCAAAATGACTGCCAGTAGCCTATGGTGTGGCTTTAGCCACCCATACATTATTGGGCCTGTTTTCATTTCTATCAATGATTGGTGCTAGTCTGCTACAACGCCTGAAGCTCGAACTAGCATTCAAACTTCAACCAGTAGTATTATGTGACCAACACTCTAGAAGGGTCCGGTAGGACGTGGCTCTAACTCAAGTATCACTGGTCTTGATGGCCATGCAATAACAATAAAAAAGATTACCTTAACAAGAGTACTGTCATTGCAACTAGTGTTGTCTACAGATACCCTGCCCCCAAAAAAGAAAATCAAAAGAAAAGAAAACATGAGAGAACGAAAAAAGAAAAGAAAAAAATGAAGCAGGGTGTTGGAGTACTTAATTTAATTAATCATGTTAAGTACCTTGGAGGATTAATCCTAGTGCTCAAGTTCTCATACTCAGGATCAAAGTATGGCCAACAAACGTTAGCCATTTAAGCAGCAATTACTTTCTCCAATCAACAAAAGAGTCTCTTCTCCTGTCACAGCAGCATTAACTATTAACATTTGATATGTTAAAAGACAAACATCCTATTATCAATAGCCATGTCATGCCCTTTTCAACAGACAGCACTAATTTCATTAACAGTTAACGTTGACATACAGGACTTGATAGGTAGGACTTCGTGAGTGAATGGAACGAGAACCAGAATGATTTGATGTTTCTACTGTAATTTAGTTGGAAGACGAGCCACTTATAAAGGAGCAACATGCAAAGGACTTCTCACCAAACCATTACCAGGAAATATTTAAGAGCAATACCCCGTCCGAGGTTGACACCAATTACTCTTCACTAGCTAAGCGCTCAGGCCAGGAGATTTAAGAAGCCAGTCTTCCACTGAATTAAGGCACGACATGTTGGTGAAGGTTGCTCTGATTGAGTAATTTAAAAGGTTGCTAGCATGTAAGAATGTGGACATGCAGTACAGGAAACCCAACCCAACAAACTACAATTGCACTATTCTCTAGTTTTTCTTTTTCCCATTTTGTTCTCTTTTTGAAATGTAAAATTTTCACGTCATGATTCTCTTTTGTTTCAAACTGAATGCTGAGAAATTTCATTCAGACAAGGCCTAAACTAGCCCAAGGTTCCACTAAAGCTGCTCAAGGAAGAGGTCTTTTTCTTTTATTTTCTTTTTTTCCATGATGAGCTAAGTTTTTCCTCTTCAGTCCACCCAAGCCCAGCCCATCTAATGAGTTTTCAATTAGCCTATTCTCTGTGTGTGTGTCTGTGTGTTACAAGGAAAAGACGCAATCAAACTCTATCATTATCATTACACTCTTGAAACCTAAACTTTAATTTACCTACATTATTTTTTCAAGTTACTCATGAAACTTTCTGTTCAAGCAAAGCAAGGATTGCCATGAGGGATAGAAAAAAAATAGATGATTAGGTGTGTGATATGATTTTTTAAAAAAAAAATATTTTTAACATTAACTTATTATAATGATCTAAAAACACAAGAAAATAAAAAAATAAATATTTTCAAAAAATACTTTTAATACATAAAAATTAAATCATAAAACAAAGAAAATCGGATCCACAGCACTGTATGCCATCGTGGTTGAGACAGAGGTAGGTATTGGTAGCAGAACAAAAGAATTGTTGCCATTATGAATCGAGTATAGGCGTTTGTGAACCAGCCATGTAGATTCAGCAGAACAAAAATCTCATCAGAGGAGAGGTGGCAAAAAAGAGAAGAATTAGATTCCCCAACTTTAACCACCGCCGTCAGTATCCTTATACTCCATTTGACCACCCAAAACCCCCACGATCACTGTCCTCCACTTTACATATTGATTTAAAGCATAGATCTTATCGTCCACATGAACGATAGTATGCTAGCTGTTGAAAGAGAAATTAGCATCTGTTTTAAATTAATTCTACCTTAAAACAAAAGTCAAACGGAAAATTGCGGCGGTTAATGAAGTAAAAAGTTCCACGCTTTCAAATGGCCACAATTACGCAAGCATACCATTTGTTTTAAAATATGATTGTGGACTGACTCTGCCACCATAGACCATTTGAAGCAAGATTCATTAGAATTCTACAGAGCTGGAAGGAAGTTTGTGTGAGAACTTACCGAAGAGGAGAAGATTTTTCGAAACTTGATGAGTGGTGCCCGGTATCCGGATGAGAGAAATGGTGAGAAAATTTGGAAGGGAAACCTGACAATTTTCATGCGGAACCACTTAACAAGGAAAGTGCTTAAATGATTTGCAAGAAATCTGCGGCCAAAATGATTGACCATTCATTCAAGAAAACTTAAAGATTTCTGCAGTTCTGGGGATTTCGAAGCCTAAGCAGAGAAATAATTTATCAAAGACGCAAAGACAGAACTGGAGAATTAAAGGGAAGAATTTCCAAGTCGTTATTTACTAACCTTTGACGGTTCCTTCCTTCCGAAATTCCAACACAAGAACAAAAAAAAAAAAAGCAGAGCCACTTCACATCCTTAAAACCCAAAAAGGAAGAGGAAGAGAGGGGGGTATTAAAGAAACAGAGGGAGCGAGTGGGCCTAAAATAGGGTTCTTTTGTATTCTCAATTCTCCGCTTTCTACGTTGGAATAGCACTTGCAAACTCGATCCCCTCTGCCTCTAATAAATGGAAGTGGGCAGTGAAATTCTTTCTGAGAGGGAAACACTTGAGAAATGGCGTGGCATTTGAGGGCCTTTAACCCTTTAAATATTAATTTATTTCAATTAACAATCATTTGATGTTGCATAGATGACGCGGCGACCAAACGCCTTAATCCCCAATTTTGGTGGGATGACCAAAATATTTGTCACAACCTTACTACGAGCGTGAAATCAAGATCTGGATAGGGTTTGTTTGTTATTGATGTGTGGTGAAGGTTTTTTTATGGGATTTAAAAAAACTAATAAAAACAAGTATTTTTAGTTTATAATAAAGTGTTACTTGTGGTTTAAAAAGATTATACTTGTAAAAAAAAAAAAAAAATCTTACTTGTATATTTTAATATCAAACACACACTTAATTTTGCTTTCCTGAACTAGTTATTTATGAACTTGCACTCAACTTAATCTTATCCATATATATCTTAATATCAAACACATATTTAGTTTTCTTTTCCTCAATTAGTTATTCCTGAACTTGCACTCAACTCCTTCCTATAAAGGTCAATAAAGCATGTGTATTTGTCTATAATGAAGTACAATGTCAAAAATATAGAGAATATTTAGTATTGGTTAAATATTAAGATCTTTTGTTTAAAAGTATTTTTATTTGAAAATATATTAAAATAATTTATATATATATATATAGAAAGAGAAATTGCAATGTTACTAGAATTTTTATAATCACATTGTTTTCGTGTGGTTGTTTTTTTTTAATCTTAGATGTAACAGTTTAATTGGTTAGACTTACCTACTTATAAATACTAATCTTTCGTACCATAGTTAGGAGATTACAAGCAAGTACAAGTGAATTTAATGAACTGACTGATACTCTTCTTTATTGCCGAAAGCTACACGGTTCAACATCCACCGTTGAGCCCTTGATTTGTATTTTTAATACAACTACGTACAGATAAAGCTGATGAGACCGTTATGTGCAGATACATAAGGCTTCAAAGTAACTGGGTGATCGGGCATAAGAACTTGGGGGCGTTTTATAATTGTGGGTGTGGGATGCCCTCAAAAATAAATAAAAAAATAATACAAACTTAACCTAAATAACTAGGCTGGAGGTCACATGATGATCCCTTGCCAAAACCAAGTTGGAATATTTCTTAGGCGATAGCTCCTTTTTATTATTATTATTATTTTGTGTTAGTGTGGCTGATGCACCAAGTGTGAGAATCATGGATAGGATTTTGTTTGAATGCTTAATTTTTTTATGTTTTTTTAATATATATATATATATATATATATATATATAATTAACAGTTGATGGAATCCATAAATATGGCATAAATTCCTTTATTAAAAACAAGATAAATGTGAAAATGAGTTTGCTGAATTGATTAGATTTTAAATTTATTTACTAGATATTAACAATTTAAATCTCATAAATCTCAGGATCATTATAAATTTATATAATTATTAATTTCGGGACCTGTAAAATTAATAAAGAAACACGTAAATTAACTTAGATTAATTAAAAAAAGAAGAAGAGAGAAATGCAAATGTGAGTGCTACAATGAACCCTCTGAATAGAAAACTTATTATAATAACACACATATAATGATTTTAAATAGTACATAAATGACTAATCCATGAAATAGCTAAGATATTAAAAATTATAGTAGATATGATGTTGTGATAGTGATTTTTTAAAGTTTTTTTTTTAAAAATATATTAAAAATATATTTTTAATATTTTTAATATCAATATATCAAAATGATCTAAAAATATAAAAAATTATAATTTTAAATAAAAAATAAAATTAACAAACAATATTTTAACAGTAATGCAAGACATGTTGTTATTAGTGCTATGAATTATAGAAGCGATGGTTCACCGATAAAAAAACATAGATACAAGTAATGATCTTAATGAGGTGCAAGTGTGTGGTAGATCAAGTGAATCGTTAAAGTCTATACAAATGAAGCTTTATAAGTTGTGTGGAGTGAGAGTAAAATAACTTTAAAAGAGAATTTTTATGTGTAAGTGAGCAAATTAAAGATATAAAAAATTAAGGATCGTGTCACACCTAAATTAAGCAACTTGAATTGAACTCTTATGAGTCATACTATTTCAGGTTGTTGTAATTAAAGGCTAAATAAAATAACAATTAGGTTTTTTTGCAATGAACCCTAATTCATGTCCACTAAGTCAATTTTTCAAATGAATATTAAAGACAAAACATAAATAGGCACTTACCATGCCATAATCCATAATCCTTGTGTTTATCCTTGTGCAATCTTAAACTTGTGTTAAGTTCAGTTCATCATCAATTCATTGATATGTAGCTTTAACTCTTATCAAATTAGGAAAACACGAATTAATATATGAAAACTAATTAATTACTCAATTAATTTTAGAAATAAAACGATTATATATATTCAAACTTTTGTATAGACAACAACCTTATTGATAACAACTCTATACTCTATATAGCGCACGCGCATATATATATATATATATATATATATATATATACACATACTATCCAGCACAAATGGTTTGAAAAACGGATTAACTTGATGTTTTAAATAAGAGAATATATTAATATTATGGATTATTTTAAATATCATATTTTTTAATTAAAAAAACTTATGCATGTTGAAGGTTTTTAATCTTAATGTTTTATTTATCTTATCTTGAAGGGTTTTTTCTTTAACCGAGAACAAATAATTTTAATTTTTATGAATATATCATGTAACTAAAACTTATTTTATATAAAATATGAAAGGAAAAAAATAAAGATAAATTACAACAATCTCTATAAAGATAATCCAGTTTTGTTTAAAAATAACTAAGTATTAATTAAAAAAAATGCACCAAACAATTTAAAAAAAATAAAGGAAAGGGTGCTATTTAAAATTATTTTTTTATTGGCAATTTGTTTATGAAAATATTTGTTTGTTGGACCAAACAATTATGAGAATCGTGAGAGAAAGTTTTAATAATTTTTTTTTTCATAATCATGCTACAGATGTATTAAAAATATAAAAATAATATATTGAAATCTTCGGAAGTCTATTTTCAATGTGATCATAGAAGAATTTGCAGAGAAAAAGATAAAAGATTAAAACTTAAGAAGGGAAATTTTGTCATTCCAATTCAATTAAAAGCTTTATTTCATGAAATTAGGCTGAAAAGGGATCAAATCAAAAGGAGAGAATGTAAGGTTGGAACTGGGAAAGAAAGAGAGAGAGAGAGGTGCTTCACCATTGAACATATAAACAATGAATCACCATAAAAAAATGTCAATTCCTTTGGTCGCGAAGGTAGTGCCATGATTGAGATTTATTCAATTAACATATAATTAAAACCATTATAAAAGAGTGCCATTACATCAAACCAAAGGAAATGGAGAAATAATTAGATATAAAGAGAGGTGGGTTCAAATTCCAAGCTTGCAATCTATTAGATATAAACAAACGCTAGTGGATTTTAGAGGTTTCCAAAGTCAGCTTTCGTCTTTTCAAAGGATTCCGGATCGCATGCTCTCCTTCTCAATAATCTGCGTTAGCTGTGGTGCTTTGCATAGTTAATCAACAGTCCAGCAAACACTTGTTTGGTTGAACTGAAAAGCAAACGAGATCTCTCTCGTTATTAACCGAAAGCAGCTTTTAATATATCAGTGGTTAACGATCCATGATGGGAATCAGATTTCTTAAAGATGGAATCAAGCAGCTAGAGAACTATTAAGTCGGAGTGCGATAATTAATATACATTTCGCTCAGTACTGTGGCCTGATGAAATCACAATCCACCAGAATCTTACTATAGACAGGAATTCGGGTTAATGGCCTCAAGTTCGTTTGGGAGAATATTAATCTGCATATTTGACGCGCAAAGCCACCATTCATTCCTTTGTTTTATCGTGGCGTTTGTTGATTCATTTCCCCCCGGCAACTAGAATTGATATTGGAATCAACGTGGGGAAGACGGAAGGCGGGGAGTAGGAGGAGGCCGCTCCGCTGCTTTCGAATCCGCTGGTATACGGAATCCGGTCTCTCACCATCCGCGGCCTCTTTGTAATTTGCCCTTCAGCTGACCTAAGAGGATTCCAAGCGCGTTTGTTCTCGGTGACGTCCATTACAGCCTGTTTCCCGTATCCTTCTCGGGATCTCACGAGGCTATTCTACTTTTTAGATCTCGTTAATGGAGCTCGGCCGTTGTTATGATTCTTTGCACCTCGATAATCATTAATGTTAACTGATGCAATTTCCTTTCTAAATAATTTTAAGAATATAATCGGCCTTTTTTTTTCTTCTTGTTTTCTACTTGGTCCTAACAAATCTCGCATCTCTGTTTTGTAATTAATATAAAATCATTTTTAAAATCTGACCATTATTTAAAATCAGTATACTAGTATTTATTCAATAATTATTTTCAGTATATTTTCATCGGCATCACTTTGTTTCATGCGACTTTGTTGGATAATATTGGTTTTTAATATTTATAAGGTCAAACTGGAAAAAATAAATCATTATCAGAAGATGTTCAAAGATGCTGACGTGTGTATAATAAATTGTTTGACGCAGTTTGATTTTTACCATATTCAAATTTATTTTTAAACAAAAAATATATATAATATCTTTTTTTTCTTTGGGTTTCCACAATTTTTTCGCTTAACAAAAACATACTAATAAAAGTATATAGTTTTAATAAAAAATATTTTTTATAATTTTATTGATTATTTCTTATATAAATATATTTGTTATTAGCATATAATTTTATATAATTAGATTTAAAAAAAATAATTCTCATGATAGCTAGCGGACTAGCCACTTCAAGACAGGGAGGAGTGGGGACCGTATGCTACAGCGACGGCTCGAGACAGAAGGGTCGAGTACTCAAGTTGCTAGGATTCCGTATCCTTCTGGACCTTCTCTATTTATTGGATCTTAGCACCACAACTTTATGCGAACATGGGACCACTAGTATGTTACTTTTTTGTATTTCAAGAATATTTTAAAAAACAAATACCATTCACCACAGTTTTATGCCAACATGGGACAATTATAAGTATTTTTTGT